AGCTTCTTCTAGAGTTTCTGATACCTGATAACTAACTTTTATTTTGGTAACAGATTTTAAATCTTTTATAAAGTATGTGACTTAATTTAAGTCACTTATATCTATAACTTCTCTAATTATATTTCTGAATTTTGTATTATAGTCTTGTACAGAACTAGTTTGGTGAAGAAGACAAAGTTGTTTATAAAAGTATTATTAATAATATAGTGACTGGAAAACTTCTCTAAGTACTATTATAAAGTTATTTTAATTCTTAAAAGATGTTATATAATTATCAGTCTTGTATTTATTGATATATTAATATAATATTACATATTATACTTATATTTTTTCATCTGCAATTCCTTGAATCAGAAATATAATTTTAGTTTATATTATTCAGATAAGTATATTTTTATTTAGTTTTTTAGAGTATGTAGATAATTTAACTAAGAGATGAGATAAAGACTTAAAACCAGATGGATTATCTTCTTTTATTATCTTGATTAATTCAGTTATGCTTACCAAGAATTATATAAATTATTCTGTATTTATCTTTATTAAATTTTAATAATAAAATTAAGATATGTATGAAGTATATATGTATAAGATGTTAAAGAGTGATATTTTATAATAATTATATCTGCTTCTACTAAGTTATAAGATTATTTTGTTAATAATTATAAACAAGATAAAATGTGATATAAACAGTTTTAATTTTATAACTTATAATTATTTTTATTATTTAAAAGTATTTAGATTTGAAGTTAAAAGTATAGAACAGATAGGTCATATTTATAAGAAAGAAATGAATATGAAATATGAATAAATTAATAATAATCTATAAATAAAATACATATAGGTTGAATAAAATTAATTAACTTAATTCACATCTTCAAAAGATAACTAATCATAATTTAATAATTAATAATATGATAAATAATTATAAATAATAATATAAATAGTAATTAAACAGAATAAATAAAAATATAAAAAAATATTAATAATAAATGTAATTAAAAATATTAATAATCTAAATTAATAATTGTAATATACATGATAATTATCTGAGTAACAATGTGCTAAATCTAGATATATTAAATACATAATGATTATTTATGTATCCAGAATAAAAATAATCTTCTTAAAAATATAATACAAAGTTAATCTGTTATATAAATAGTACAAAATAAAGATCTAAACTAAAATGAATCTAAAGAAAGATAATCTAATCAAAATTGTTACAGTATTTCCTGATAGAAATAATAATCTTTTCTATTAATCTGATATTTTGATTAGTTATATAATTGATAAGAGTTCTAATAGTTATAATTAGATTATTCAAATTATTATTATTATTTTGAGCTATTTAATTATCTTTTTTTTCAATTACTTGATTACTATCTTCTAAGTTAATCTGGATATTTTCTTTTAAATCAAAATAATTATTATTTTCTTCTAATTCTAAAGTCAATATAGGTTGAATAGAAAATATTGATAAATTTTTTGAATTCTTGATTTTAGAATAATATTTATTAATATTATTATTATTAAAAGAGATTTCTATCTGAGTTTGTAAACTAAAGTTTTGATAGATAAACTATTAGTAAAATTATTCAATTAAATCTAATTATTCTTCTTGAATATTGATATAGTCAAATATAAAAGTATTTAATAATTATATTATTCTTTATCTAAGATAAGTAATATATATCTTACTAAGATTATATTAAATTATTTTGCTAAATAATAAATATATGATTTGATTTATTGATACTATTCTAATACTTTTTATAAGCAGACAAAAAGTTCAAAATTATAATTAAAAATTTAATTGAAGAGGATAATAATAGAGACAAAAGTATTAAGAGAATATTCTAATAGTATAATTAGAATTTTGATATACTTATAAGTAATAATTAATAAGTAATTCAATAAAAGAATAATAAATGATCATGAAAATTCAAGATATAATTATTTATTAATTACTTAAATATAAAAGAAAAGCATATAAAAAGAATATAAAAAGGAAATATATAATAAAGAATATATAAAAAGAATCTTTTTTCACAGGAGCAATATCAAAAATATATTATAATAAAGAAATTTTACTTGAATTTATCTTAATAATATTAGATTGAAAAAGACTAAATTAATTAAAGAGCAAAGAGAGGGGAATTAGACTATATTTTTAATAATGATAAAGATTTCTAAAATCTATATCAAAATCTATAGATATTATCTTTCAAAGAGTAAAATAAATAATAAAAGAATAAAATAAATCAAAAGAATTATAAAGATTAATAAATAAAGTTACTATCAATTAATATAATTTAAGATTTAAGTAATAAATAATAAAACTGCTATTAATTAAAGAAGACTATAACTAAATAAAAGTAAAAACTAAATAATAAAATAACTAATAAAAAAGAGTATAACTTATTTATAATAAAGATCTTCTACTCTTAAAAATAATAAAATAAATAAAATAAAAAATATAGCTTATTTATAGTATAAATCTTTTACTCTTAAAATAATATCAAAAATCAATATAATATTATAATCCAAATCAAAATTAACTTTGTATAATTAAAGAAATAAAATCAAGTAAAAGAAAAAATACTAGTATAATTAAAAAAAACTTTATAAAAAGATTATTATTATTATAATAATAAGTTTTTTAATTATATTTTCCAAATAATTTAATTCAAAACTATTTATTTTAGCTAAAATAGCAGATCTTTTTATATATTTTTGAATATATTAATTATTATAATATTACTAATTAATATTATCTAAAGTCATATGTTAATATTATAATGAACTATAATTTGAAGTACTAATAATTTAAATATTAATATTAAAAATATAGATATCTGAAAATATTAAAAGATATTAAAAGATATTTAAAATATTGATATTAATAAATATTGAAGAATATTTAAAATATTGATATTGATAGATATTAAAAGAAATTTGAAATATTAAAATTGATAAATATTAAAAGATATTTTATTATTCTATCAAAAATTGAAAAGAAAGATTTTTAAATATATTATTCTAGTAAATATATAAATTATATATAATAGGTAGATTAAAAATATAAATCTCAAATAAAGAGAATAGTATATAATATCTAAAAATAGAAATATAATTATAAAGTATAAATATAATAAAAAAAATAAAGATATAATTATAAAAGAATAAAGATGACTATAGAATAAATTATAAAATTATAAAAAAATAAAATTTTATATAATTAAAGAAAGATTATGAAATTAAAAAATTTTACATTATTATAATAATAATATATATTATATTTTTAGAAAAAGTTAAGATAAAATATTAAAATACTAGTTTTTAATTATATACTGTATTATACAAGATAAGCTTATAAAATAATATAATTTAGCAAAATTAAAATTTATTTCTTGATTTACTTTTTATTTTTATAATTTTAATTATGATTTAAATCTAATAGACTATATTAAAAGTAATTCAATAATTTATATTTAGGTTAAATCTTTTAAAAATAAAAAACAGAAGATTTTAATAATAAAAAATAAAAATTATTTAATATTATTTGTGAAAAAAAAATAAATTCTTATATTATTTTTATATAAAAAAAATAATAACTAAAAAAATCATAATTTAGACAAAAAATTAATCAAATTAAAAATATTTTATTTTAATTTATTTTATTTTATAACTTAATCTTTATTTAATAATTTATTTATTTAATATAATATTTTTTTTATTAACTAATAAAATAATATTTTCAAAGTATTTTATTTTTTATCTTATTTTAATTTATTTTTTTAAGCAAATTAAATATTTATATTATTAAAATTTTATAAATATATATAAAAATAATTAATCAGATAAAAAATTAATATTAAAAATAAAAAAAATAATATTAAAAAAAAAAAAAAACTATTTATAAAATATTTATTTTTTTATTAATTAAATAATAATTAGTTTAATTAATTATAATAATTATATTAAAGATATATCTACAATGACAATCAAAAATAATGCAACACTTAAATTTTTTACTAATTATAATTAGTAAAAAATTTAAGCATTGCATTATTTTTATTGCCACTGTATAATAAAATTCAAAATTAATTTACATATATAAAATTATTTAATTTTATTATATAATACTTAATTTAAACTATACAATATATAAATAAATATTATATATTTAAAATTTTTATAATTTTTTTTATTAAATACTTTGATATATTTATAATTAAATTAAAATATACTTTTTATTAATACTATTTTATTTTTACTTAAAAATTTATTTGAATTAAATTTTTTTATTTACTAATTTCAATACTTGTTTTTTTTATTTAAAATATTTTAATTAATTTAGTTAGCTATCTATTAATTATATAAATATAATTTAATTCAAAAAAGTATATATATATTTTTAATTTGATTATCTTATTAAAAATATCATTTAGAATTAACAAAATAAATATTAAGTAAAAGTTAAAATTTTATGAAATTCATGTTTTCTATAAATAAAAATAAAAATTCTAAATATTATATTATAATTAAATATTATATTAATTTATATTTAATATTATAAGTCAAATAATTATATATAAAAATAATTAGTAACTATTCAAATAATAAATAATAATTATTATAACTAGAATATGATATAAATAATCAAATGAGATAAAAATAAAAATTATAAGAAAAATAAGAAATTAAATAAGAAAAATAATATTATGAATATGAAAAAAGATTAATAATATAAAAAAAGTAACATAATTTATAACCAAGAATTAAAATTATGAAATTTTATTTTTCAAAATTTTTTTGCCTTCATATAAAATGCTTGTCATTGGCTAAGATCTGACAAATTACAATTCAATAACGATAAGATAAATCTTTTTCTGAGAATCACTGTACAACAGAATTTTACTATTTAAGATAACGTATAACAAAAAATTGTTCTATAACGTCTATAAATTATCGGATGGGAAAACAAGAAACTATTCTACTTTCTTTATGGAATGACCATTAGCATAACCATTTGACTTATTCAAGTGGCCGTTTCCATTAGCTGATAGCTTCTTCTTTCCGCCATACATTTTCTTCGCAAAATCAACGAAAAGATAAGTCAACGGGAACAAATAACTAATATTGATCCAAGTCGCCATTTTTGCACCGGCAGATGCATGACATCCATCAACAAACAAATATGATATTGCCAGCGTGGTACCAATTAAGAATTGGGAAATCTGCATTGTGGTGAGATATTGTTTGCCGGGAGGGTGCAGTCCAATCGAGGTTGCTGCGTAATATGCGTACATTATTGTGTGAATAAAAGAATTGAAAACAACAAAGATCCACACCGCTGTTGCACCGTAGTTCATGCTTGACCACATTGTTATGATTGCGCCGGCGTGATGGTATGTTTGTAGTAAGGAGGAGCGGCGTCCTTTGAGTAGAATGATTATTGTGTCAATTATTTCGTAATCTAGAAAATTAGAATCATGTTAATTCGGGCATATCGATGATTAAAGGAATGGGGGGAAGTTGGAATTTACATTTTGATAAGTAGAATAAATATCCCCAATATCCTAGAGCATTATTCCATAATGAACCATCTCGATCGCAATACTTTTAATTAAGAGAACGAAGTTAAAAAAATTTTGAATTTCAATAAACTCAATTTAATAAATTCTTACAGCATCAGTAAAACTCGAATGTGTCCAAAAATTCATTAAATGAGCCGAACCCATTCCAACAAACGTGATCAACGAATAAACACACAACAACAAATTATGTAGGAATATAAATGCTGTCATCGCTGAACTATTTTCTGAACTCGTCTCACTCTTTTTAATGCCTTTTGATTGCGCCACTACACGCGACACTTTTGATGATTTAGGATTCAGAATTAGGACCGAGAGAGTGTAAATGGTAGCAACAGAGATAGGAAATCGCCAGTCCATGAATAATGGATAATATTCCGGAAAGGGGATTCCTTCAGGAGGGGGAACTGGCTTGATAGACATGATTGTTAATGCGTGTATTTCGTTTTTTTTCCAAAATTTTTGGCTTGACGTAAAAATTTCTTATACGATTAAACTCGTTTTGCGGCTTCTATATACGTTTATCAAAAGTTTTATTAACGTTAGCAAAACAATGTATTGATTTTATATGGATTCGAGTTTATGTTATACTGATAACGAATGTGATTATTGATAGTTTTTATTCATATTATTTTATTTTCTCCCATTTAATTCTATTTTTAATTAAAAAAAAAGATTTATTTTGTAAACAAAACTTTTTTTGTTTTTTTTTGGGGTGATATGGTGAGTGATAACAACATATTCTTCGATTAATGGCTCGATAAAGCATCATAAATCGCGCCAATGCAATAAATCATGAAATTCACGCATAAAGATAAACTTCTATTTTTAATAAATAGTTAAACATATCTTCCCACAAGTTAATTCCAAATTACTCACACGCATCTTTTTCCGAAACCGGACAATCACATCCATTCTTTTCCGATTTTCGTTTGATGAACCAGTAAACAACAAAAGAAAACAATGAAATGTGAGAAATGATTTTGTTGCGCGTGCCTTTAAAAATAACTTCATTTGATGTAAATCAACTTAATCTTTGACGCCAATCTATTGAAGCAACGAGTGTGTGTTATCCAGTTTAGGAATCAATGGGGGATTCACATATTATCCGGCTTTTATTAATTGAAAATCAGCTGCTTGTCACTTTGACAGATCATAATAATTGAAAACAATTCAGGGTCCTCTTTTTTAATAGGAAGTTTCATTCATTGTTAGCATTAAACGCATGTTTTCGAACATCGTAATCTAAGTGGATGCTTGCATTGTAAATCGAAACATTATAAATGATAACGTCATTTAGAATCATAAATTTTAAGTTAGCTTGAACTTTAATTTTTTTGATATGGCTATGATTTCAGATTCTCTCGGAATTTTCGAAATCTCCGTAAATAACGATCGGTAAAATATCCGAAATTAGTCGAACTACTTGACGTTTAATGGGGATCGGTGAGAATGATTTATGGTGGGAAAAAAGGGGATAGCAATAAAAAAATTGTTGGGGCATGTAAAAAAGGAATTTTTATGGAAACGGTAGTTTTTCGCGAGAAGTAATCTCACGCCGAAACCAAATATTTTAGCATTAATATTTTGATTTCGAAGTTGTGGCGCAATAAATTTATGCTGAAAATTAGTTCTATCTAATATCACTTTCTTTTTCCCTTAATGTATGTATTCATAAGAACTAAATATTCGTTTAATGTTGATATTTACATAAAGTGTAAATACTTTGAAGTTAGTGTGTTTGACCTTTCAAGCTACTGCTACTGTGCATAGACAAATTATATGTCCTGAATTATAAAACCAAACGCAAATTCATTTGAATAATTTTTATTTGGAAAAAAAATAGAAATTATCTCTTAATTCATTAATTAAATACACGTTCTTAAATAAACACACATCGCACAATTAGCGCTGGTCCTCGACAGTTCTTTGTAAAAAGAAAAACAAGAGAAGAGTAAAGAAACAAAAAGAAGAATTACGAATTAATTAAATACAGGTTAATACATAAATTTCTCAGCAATACTAGCCAAAAGAGGCTCCAGACGATTAATTAAATTAACACAGCACCAGGCGCATATACGCGCGTAACAGCAATCGTGCAAAAAATAGGAGAATCATCATCTCACGATACTTAATGATTTTTAGATATCGAGCATCCAATTATTTCCTCAAGCATAACAATATCATCAAAACATCGAGAAAAATAATGTATTCTACGATACCGATGGAATTAAAAATTTTTTGTTAGATTATTCACATATCATGGTCGTCATGTTGTGGGTAGGGTAGCCAGGGAAGTAAGAAGGTTCCTGAATCTGTGTAATTATCTAATTTGGACAGCGAATAAAAAATGGTCCGGGATGTTTATATAAAAGTCAAAAGATTCAACGATATCTTAACGAAGAAAAACTTCTTTAGAAGTGGTTGGAAACATTGATCTGTATATAAACAATCATTTCACGCGCAAAAGTTTTCAAAGAATTTTTTATTCGCCTTCAATAAATTTTACTTTTTGTAGATATAGAGATCAGTTAAACTTTTATTTTATCGGAAGAAACAATTAACTAATAATTTCTTGTTATTATATATTTTTTGTTCATACGACAAGAAAATATTATTAAAATTTTTTTTTGTTAATTCAATTCTCAAAGTATTCTTGAATATTGAGTGTGCATTGCTATAAGATAACGCATCGTTTAAAGAATCTATTTTGTTGTGCAATGTTCTCTTATTTTTTTTAAGACATCAACTTTTCGCTAATTCTCTTGCTCTATTTCTAGAATGCCTATCATTATCCGAGACCAACAAGAGAAAAAACGTATCATCGTATAGGCCGGGAGAATCCTCATTGCTGTTGAGCTTATCTAAAAAAAATCTCGAATAGGATTTTTTTCTGCGCTATCTTGCCAATCAAATTCTTTTCTAAACTATTTGCTCCTTATGTCTGTGCGTTGGATGTGCAAACTCTAAAGATTCGTATGTGCGAGTTTTCAATAATGCATACCCGAATGAATTGCTTGCATTTTTGGTGGTTAGGGGTGCAAAACAAACACGCAAAATATTAATTCAAACAAATAGAAAAACCGATTTTATATGTATGCATGCATATCGATAGATCCCGCTTACATTGTTGCTTTGTCTGTGCGTTGAAAAAATTTTGTGTAAATCATTCGCGTCAAATTTTGGTTGCACTGTTTCTTCGCTTTCTTTCCCCTTGGCACTTCTTGATTTAATAATAATTATATGCGAAATTGTAAATATGGTAGAACGACTGCAATTCGACCAAAGAAATTCGCACATTATTGGTACACCAAAAAAAGGGAAAATTGGAAAACAGCAGTCAAAAAATCGCGCGTGTAATTCTCCTTAAAATGTTGAATATCTGCACAAGTAAATGAATGCTTGCCTCCTTTTGCATCGAGCCTGTAAAATAGATTAAAAAAGGGCGGAGACAAGAAAGTAATATAACTCACTGCACGAAATGTCTCACGATAAATAATTGCAACCCATACAACACAGAACACGCAAGAAAGGGAAATCTAAAGATTCGAAATAATCAGTAATAATCAATTAATTTTCTGGTAAAATCATAGTTATCTAATGATGTATGCATCCGATAATTACAAATTCGTGGGAGAGACAGAAGATAAATAGGGAATTGCTTGAGACTATATTCGTTGGTGCATTCACTCTACAAAAAAACTTTGATAATTGTGCGTGTTCAAATTTCTCTATACCAACTACTTCCTCTACGCGACGAAGTTCGTTCTCCTCCCTTTTTTCCCTTTCTCTTTCATCATCCCTTTCCCTTTTCTCCCGCTCGTTCTCTGTGCGCTTTACTTTTTCGTATTATAGAGAGAAATTAGATAGACCCTATATACAATATTCTTAATTGACTCTCGAAATAATAATACGACTATAATGGCAAATTTTAAGTCAAAACATGAGGGAATACGCTCTTTCCATTTTATTATTGTACTGGCTCTGCTTTGCAAGGTTCGCCTCTTTGCTAGTTCAATTGTGTTTATCGTGACTTTGTAAGCTGAGTTTTTTAATAATTCATGTGCATTCTTAGCTTGCAATGACGGTCACGGGTGACCCTTCGGTTACGTATATCATTAATCTCACACCAAAATCAACGGTAAATATCAATATATACATACATATATATACATATATATTTGCTTTATCGTACACAAATTAATCTTTATAAAATTCAATTATTTCTAGTGGTATTTTTGCTTTCCACAGCAAAGTTATTATGTCAGTAAGTTTCTTTTAAACTTTTGCTTTTACTTTATATTTCTTAATTGTGTTCCCCGTGTATGCTGAATAAATCTTTTCATCAAACTCACCTACGGGGAAATATCAGCCAAAAACTAATTGATAACAGATTACAATTACCAGGGGCTTGACAATTGAATATTGCCTGCAAAGCAAGCAGCCCCTGAATTTATCCACCCAAATTGCCTTGTTCATGTTCTTCGCTTGCTTGCGTGTTGTTGTCCACATCGCCCCTGTAAATTGTGAAAATGAACCTGCCTAGAATGATAACCATGTGTTAATCCTCTGACAAAAAATATTAATTGTTATCCTTCCAAATTTTTCTCTAAAAAAGACGATCGTGTCGCGCTAACCGATGGACGACAGACAGCAAGTTCAACGTTTGGTTATTCAGTTCCAAATTATCGTTACCAGAGCGATATTCAAGGGTTTCTAACAGTTGTCACCACATCACAAAACATGGCAAACTATATTGACCCGACAATCCAAACATTTTACAATTTTATTCCCGAGGTTTCTTGCTTTGCAACTAATCCCGTAGTTCCTGTTCAAGTATGTCGAAAGAAAGCTCCATTACAGAATCCGCAATTTCTTTGCAAAGCTATCACTAATCCGACCTCGCAAATGTTACAAGTTGAACTTTGGCTTGGTTGGGCATCTTATGATGCTGAGCCACCTCAATTAAATTATAACACCAGCAACAATACTGGTAACACAAACAGTCAGAACAACAATAGTACCGATAACAATGGAGGTGGTATACCAGTTAACAATCCTCCCATTTCTTCAATTCCTATCTCATCTGGAAATACCTCACCTCTACCTAGCGGTACTAATGGAAATAATTCGCCCAATCAAGTTGTGAATAACGGAAACAGCAATTCCATAACATCGAACGTGCCATCGTTTACGTCTAAAAACGACGGAATAATAAATTTGCGACCGATAGATCCAAGTTCACTCCTGGTTGTCTTTTTGTTTTCATTTTTTGTTTCTTCGACTTTATCTTTTAACTATTCTTAGAAATAATAGTTTGCCATTTTGGCATTTGTATTTTTATTCCAAATAAATTTAGTAATATTTGTAACAACTGCACAGAAGCTCAAAGACATTCACAACCACACAAAAGTCTCAGAGAAATTTATATTATCACTATAAAAAATATTAATATATAATATACAGCATATAGTACTTTAGAGTTTATTTTTAATTAATATCACCATCATGTTTCGCTCGATACAATAAAATTATCATACTTCAAAAAGAAAGCATTGATATCGCAGTTTTCTTAACGTTATCCAATAGCTTTCCATACGTACTTTTTGTAGTCAAGGAACACCAATTTCACACCTTTTTATAAGTAAAATATAACGTTTGATGAAAACCCAAATGATAACTCATCACCGTAAATATATGCGATACAATATTGACAACATACTACATGTACTTTATTTTGCTCTTAATATATTGACGTCGCCACAAGTCTTATGGCATAACATCTATCAAAAAAATGTTATAAACATAATTTTATCAATTCATTCATTTGTATTTATTACAACACCATTGGCGGGAAATTACAAATTAAAATTGAGATAAGCTAAAAATAAGAAATATTGATAATTAATAAATAAAATATTTAAGGTTAACAAAATTATGAAATAGGGTTAATTTATTAATGAAAAATAGTAAATATTGAAATTCTATCTCTATAACAAAGTTTATCATTTCATTAAGAAATAATTTTTGTTTTTTATTCTAAAATAAAGTTTAGAAGTTATGATTTAACATATTTTTTTCAGTTCTTTAAAAATATGTGTTAACAATAACTTATAAACTTTATTTTAATATAAAAACAAAAATTATTTCTTAATAAATTATAAACTTTAATATACTGAGAAAATTTCTATTAATAAAATTGATTTTCTGATTTCATTATTATATATTTAGTAAAATATTTATTTAAATAAATAATAAATTTTAATTTTATAGTGCAAGTTATCTGCTATATCACATGGCCAAGCTGAAATTTTTAGTCACCCTTCAGTTTATCACAAAAATATACTCTTTACATATTTTTAATATATTAATTCTGATATGTATTATCACATAATTTTTTAATTTGATTAATCATAATTATATTATAAAATTAATATTAATATAAATAATTATGATAATTAATATTAATTAGTTAACAAAATATGCAAATTTCAACTTTAGTTAGATTTAAGTATTAGTCATAATATTTTAATACATTTTTAATGCTGGCTAATATTATTAATACTAATTAAAATTTAATGTATTATTCTTAATACTAATTAAAATTAAATAACTAAATCTAATATAATTATAATAAAATTAATAAAGTTTAAAGCTTAATAACTTTTTAATAATAAAGATTTCTTTTATTAAATTATAGTTTAACTTTAAATAACTCAAATAATAACTTTAGATTATTAATTAATAATTTTAATTTTATTAAATAAAATATAATATATTATTAAAACTTGTAAAATTAGATAATTTATATTATATTAGAAATATTTTTATTTTAAACTTAGATAAAGTTAGTAATTTTGATTTTAATATGATATATTATTTCAAATTTTATTTGAAAAAGTATTTAATTATATATAAAATTAATTAAATTTAAATTTATTTAATAATAAAATCAATTAATCTTATATATTTAATAACTTTTATAATTATAAAATTAAAGTTTCAATTTTATTAATAAAATATAATAAAAATTAAAATTTTTCTTTATTAAACTTTATAATTTAATTAAGAAATAATTTTTATATTTATAGAAAATAATATTTATAAGTTATAGTTTTATATATTTTTTTCAATTTTTAGATTTTTTGAAAAAGTTATTTTAATTATAAAATTATTATAAATTTTTATATTGATAATGAAATTTAATTAAAAAAAATTTATTTCAATAAATTTTTAAATAGAATAAATCTTTTAGAAAAATCTAAAAATTTGAAAAAATATATATGAAATTATAATTTATAAAAATTTTTAAATATTAATATAGAGAGAAATATTTAATTTTTATTATATTTTATAAATAAAATTGATCTTTTAATTTTATATTTATAAAAATTATTAAATTTTTATTAAAATTTTACTAAAAAATTTTATAATTTAATAAATAAATTTACTTAAAAATAATTATTTAAATAATATTACTAAGATATTTATTAAGTTATAATATTTTTAAATTTTTATAAAATATTTAAGTAATAATTATTTTTTTTATAAATTTTTATTTAAAATAAAAAATATTTTTTTCAAAATATTATATTTTTTATTTTATATTATATTTAAAATTTTTATAATTAATTAAAAATTATAATATTATATTACTTTAAACTATTATTATATATATTATTAAATATTTAAATAAAAATAAAAATAATAATTTAATTAATAAAATTTAAATTAAAATAATAATTTTATTAATATAATAAAATATATTAAAAATTAAAATTTATTATTAATAATTTAAATATTTTTTTAAAAAAACTTTTGAGTTATAAAGTTATTATAAATTTTTTTTTAATTAAAAATAAAATTTAATTAAAAGATTTTTATTATAAGATATTATTAAAAAAATAGTTTTAAAAAAATTCTAAAATATATATTAAAATATAAAAATATAAATTAAATTATAAATTATAAACTTTATTTTAATATAAATATTTCTTAATAAAAATTTTAATTTTAATAACTTTTAATTAATTAAATTAATTATAATAAAAAATTAAAAATTTCTTATTAATATATTTTTAAGATTTTTAATTTTTTTAAAATATATATATTAAATTATAAATTATATTATAAAATAAAAATTATTTCTTAATTAAATTATAATATAAAAAATATTATTAATTTTTATATTAATAAAATAAATTTTTTATTATTAAATAAATTATTTTAATTTTAAATTTTTATATAAATAAAAATAATTATTATAAAAAAATAATTTATATTAATTATTTAATTTAAATTTATTTTATTATATTTATAAAAAGTTTTAATTTTATAATTTATAATTATTTATAAAATAAATTATTTTTTTTTAAATTTTATATTTATTATATTATTAAATTAAAAATTTTTATATTATAATTTATTTTTTTTAGATTTATAAGATTAATTTATAATATTTAAATATAAAAATTATTTAAATTTTTTATTATTAATTTATTTATAAAATAGTAAATTTATAAAAATTAATAATTTAATTATTTATATTAATATATTTATATAATTTATAATTAATATATATTATTGTTTAATTAAAAATATAAAAAAAATTCAAAAAAAATTATTATTAATATAAATTAATACAAAAAAATTTATATCTTAATATAAAAATTAATAATTATTTCTAATAAAAATTATTCAAATTTTAATTAATCCTTATAATTTTTTTATATTAAATAAAAAATAATCTAAATTTACTATTTTACAGTCTCTGATGAAAGTAGTAACACATAACGTTTTCATCTATATTTCAATAA